AGAACAACAAATTATTGAACTAACACATGTACATATAAAAGGGGTTTACCTTTGCAAATGTATGTATTCATATGTTTCAGAATAAAGACATCACGGGTACTCAAAGCATGTGTCCCTTTTTTTTGGGGGGGGAGGGGGGTCAACTAACTGGCTGTTTCTCTATAGTGGTCACCTGGCCATAGTGGTCAAATTTGGCCAGTCCCTTGAGTGACCACTATAGGCAGGTTTGACTGTAATCCAAACTGTGCCTGTTCTATGCCTGTATGGTTTTTTATATTTTATCTACCGGTATTTTTTATTTATTGAAATTGCAACCGTGCAATACACACAGAGCAGAGGCAGCTGTTGCTGGTGTTTTGTCCCGCACATAGAAACAAATACTTGACAGACAATACTCATTTTCACTTGAGTCTAGTGAGGAAAATCGTGTAAAGTGCCTGTCGCAAGGGCACAAGATCGGTGGCATGTCGGGACTCGAACCCGGGACCTCTTGGTTCCGAGTTGCGCACTCTGTCGTTGCGCCACACGACCCCACATATGGGTTAGCATTAGTGTCAGGCATGTCCTCTTATCTTTAATAACAGGAACATCAACTTATTAACCTAGTACTAAATAATATTGTATAAAAATTATAAAAAACAGAAGAAAAATACAAATAAAACATAACCCAAACTGTGCCTGTTCTATGCCTGAATGGGTTAGCATTAGGGTCTGAGGCATGTCCTCATACCTGTAAGTGTAACAACAGGCAAATCAACTTCAGGGTTCTCACCAGGATTTTTTCACAGCGTAAGGGTCAGGTACAGACGGGCAACGTTCTGTGGCATAAGTCGCACCTTGAATCCCAAAAACATGACCACAGCAGGGGGTCTGGTATTCTACCCCCCCCCCCAATTTTGTAACTCAAATCCCCTGAGACACTATTTCTTGCTTATTGGGGGACAGATTTTGTTCTCCCTTTTATTATAGCTTCATTCCAAAGTTATATTTTCACTTTTTGAAAGATTTATGATGGTTCTCCCCCCAAAAACACCCCTACGCTGGTTGAAAGAAAGCGTAGGGGGCTAAATCACAGCGTAAGGGGGCTAAATCACAGCGTAGGGGGGCTAAATCATAGCGTAGGGGGCTTAGTGAGAAGTATAAACCTAGTACTATTCTATCCAGAACTTTGCCTGACTGTTGACTTTTGAGTTCTATGCCTGAATGGGTTTAGCATTAGGGTCTGAGGCATGTCCTCATACCTGTAACAACAGGTAACAAGTACTAACCCAAGTCTACCTGTTATGTAAACAGTAAATGAATATATAGTATGAGAGGGGTGAAGGAAGCCATATATATCAGGGCCCATCACCCTACATTGAACCGCGACGGGGGTCGACATTGTCTACAAGATACCTTTGTTTAGTTTGACCCAGTGTTGACGTCACACTTCAAAGAAGCCATGTGACAAGCTTCACTGGGTCAGTCTGCTGAGGAAGACCAGAGTGACTGGTCGAAAACTCTAGGTGAGAGAATTTTTCGTGTTGGACCGAAAGTTTTAACTTTAAACATGTAACTACCAACACAGACATGATAATATATAGTATGGACTGTCAGCTAACACACATCACCTGGGTAGTGTTTCTCACCTGTCTGCCAGGTCGTCAGGTTGCCACCTGGTCTCCTTGTCGCACAGGTGAAACATCAGGTGCAGCAGGTGCTCGTACCTGAGGGGGGGGATGATCACCATAGAACACTCAGGAACAGCACGAAACTGACACAGTTTAAGTGCCGAACACAATACATATGCTAAACAGTACACTACCTAATTGTGTTCGCCTGCTTAATGGCAGTAAATGGAGTTTTCTTTAACATAACCAATTTCCTCAGACAAAAAGAACCACCTATGTACATCAGCTACACATATATAGCGGCTAGAAGCAGAACTCCAATAAAAAATTCTGAGGAAGGTGTCTGATAGACACCTCATTTGCAGCAATCTAGGCAAGAAATTGGTAGTGTAAAAGAAAACTGCTGTATCCTGTGCTTGAGTAACTGTCTCTCTCCCTACCTGAGCGTGTGAGTGAGTGAGTGAGTGAGTGAGTGGGTGGGTGAGTGGTAAGTGAGTGAGTGAGTGAGTGAGTGAGTGAGTGAGTGAGTGAATGAGGAGTGTGTGAGTGAGAGTGAGTGAGTGAGTGAATGAGGAGTGTGTGAGTGAGAGTGAGTGAGTGAGTGAATGAGGAGTGTGAGAGTGTGTGAGTGAGTGGTGAGTGAGTGAGTGAGTGAGTGAGTGAGTGAATGAGGAGTGTGTGAGTGAGAGTGAGTGAATGAGGAGTGTGTGAGTGAGAGTGAGTGAGTGAATGAGGAGTGTGAGTGTGAGTGAGTGAGTGGTGAGTGGGTGAGAGTGAGTGAGTGTGAGTGAGTGAGTGAGAGTGTGTGAGTGAATGAGTGAGTGAGTGAATGAATGAGTGAATGAGTGAGTGGCTCTCTCCATACCTGATCGCCCGCAGCTCCGTGTTAGTCTCGGTGACGGCCTTGACGACCCTGAGACAGGCGCGGTGACACCCGACACCGTCCTCCAGAGTCTCCAGCTTGATCCTCTCCGCCTCCATGAACGACTCCCGCCACAGGTTCTGGAAACAAAAATTATTGCACTTTTTATGTCTTAGTTTAAACTTTGAGGTTCTGTGTAGAATGTAGAGTTACGTTTCTGCAGTGTTCTGTAATATTGTGCACAGAATTGCTCTGCAATTTGGAAACCAGGGTTGGACAAGTTTTCAAAAATCCACTTGCCCAAACCAACTTTTCACATGCCCAAAATATGCAATGTACATGACATTTTCTAAGCATTTTTACTACCAGCAAGGAAATTATTTTATCGTTGACTTATCAAAATAAAGTGGTCTGAGACTTGCAACGAGTAATTTTGCACCAAACACCACAGCGGCTATACTTCGCATCCAAAAAATTTACTTGCCCAATCAGGTAAGTACAGGGGGATATTCACTCGCCCGAACAGTACTTTTACTTGCCCTGGGCAAGTGGGCAATGGGACATGTCCAACCCTGGAAACACTTGCTGCAAATACACAATTAAAAGTCTGGACACTCAACACGCACTACAGAAGAGAACATCACAGAACAGCCACACATCACAGCATTATAAACTAGACAAACGTCGGGATTAACTCAGTCATACATGGACACATATATATCACAGCTGGCAAATTTTATTTAGTACCAGACTGAGTGGTAGAAATACCTTTTTTCGGTGTTCTACAACCATGTCAAAATTTTGTTCTGCAATTTGGAAATGCTTGCTGCAAATACATAATCATCACATGTACATGGGCCATGGCACACACAAAATTGCATGTTGGTAAACATTTTACATGTACATGCAATTTGACCAATTACTGGTACATAAAATAGTCAGCAGTAAACACAAACTCTTGAAAAACACCATTGAACACCTGGCCAGATGTTGGTTCGGGCAAGTGGGAATGACATGTACTTGCCTGCTAGGGCATGATGCTGCTAGGGCAAGTGTTTGTTTGTTTGTTTATTTGCATATAATCAGAGAGAAGAACAATAAAATGAACCTATTACAGTAAAGTAGGATATGCAGGGGAAAGATAAGAAGCCATAATGACTTGTCAGTGATCTTCCCCCGACTAAACTAATTGATAACTGTTATAATGATAACAAATCAAATGGTAATAATAAATAACAATAAGTAATTGAAAAAAACGATCAATATGATAACGGTAACAAATCAAATAGTAACAATAAATAACAAAAGTAATTGGTAAATAACGTTAATTAGAAATGATATGTTAAAAAATAAGTTAACAGAGGTTTAACTGAAGTACAAACATAAACAAAAAAATTGAAGCAATAACTCCAGAATATATAAATGAATTTTAAATTTAAATCTAATATAACAATAACATATAACATGTAAAGTGGATTTGTGAAAACTTGTCCAACCCTGAAAAAGCGGACAGACCTGGAAACTCTCGACCCCGTCTGGTTGCATAATGTTTACCTTCGGACATGGTCTGCTCTGTTAATTCTTACTCAAACACATTCACATATATGTACTATGAGTATATGGTGACAGGAGCAGAGCAGACCATGAAATTGCAACATTATGTAACCCAACACCAGTCACCATGGTGACAGACGTCAACAAATTATGTCATTGGTCAGATCAGAGGTCACTGTTTGGAGAAGAAGAAGAAGAGGAAGAAACTGAGCAAAAACAATATGTTTTCCTTCGGTAAACATAAAAAAGCGGACAGACCTGGAAACTCTCGACGCCGTCTGGGCGCTCGGTCCGCAGGAGCGCGGGGTGCGGCGTGGCGACCAGCTCCAGGCTCTCGAACCGGATGGCTGGTGTGACCGTCACGCGCAGGCGGTGCTGGAGGTCGCTGCCGTAATACACGTCCAGGGCGGCTGTCAGCCCTCGCATCTTCGGTCGGACCTGAACCAGAGTAAAACAGTCTCTTTAAAACTCAGCAGGGTTTGTATGAAATCTGAACATAAACAGTTACTACAGTCCAGGGCAGCAGTCAGTCAGCCCTCGCATCTTTGGTCGGACCTGAACCAGAGTAAAACAGTCTCTTTAAAACTCATCAGTGTTTTCTCAAGGAACAGTTACTACAGTCCAGCGCTGCCGTCAGCCCTCCCATCTTCAGTTGAACGTGAACCAGAGTAAAACAGTCTCTTTAAAACTCAGTAGGGTTATAATTCTCGGAACCTCTTTCACGCTGAAGTTTCACGCTGAAAGCTTCTTTCCTAGAACAACATCACTACAGGACAAGCTGTCACGTGATTGTTTCCCACATGGGTATAACCTTAAACTTTTCAAGTCTAAATAATAAAAAGGTCAACAAACATCTGTCCTCACTGGCTGTTCTGTAACCCAAAACATTTGAGTGGCTCCCATGAGCCTTGTTTTGTTGAAGTAAAAAAAAAATTTAATGCAAAACTTGTGGAGTGGCGTGAATGAGTGAGTGTGTGAGTGAATGAGTGAGTGAGTGAGTGAATGAGTGAGTGAATGAGTAAGAGAGTCAACAGATCGATCTGGAATCCAAAGCAGTGGCTGAGTGAGTGTGAGTGAGTTTGAGTAAGTGAATGAGAGAGTGAGTGTGTGGGTGAGAGTGAGAGAGTGAGTGAGTGAGAATAGTGTATGAGAGAGAGTGAGTGAATGAGTGAGTGAGTGAGAGAGAGAGCCAACAGACCTGGAATCCGAAGCAGTGACTGAGCGAGAGTGAGTGAGTGAGTGAGTGAGAGTAGTGAATGAATGACTTGAGTGTGTGAGTGAGTGAGTGAATAAGTGTGTGAGTGAATGAATGACTTGAGTGTGAGTGAATGAGTGAGTGAATGAGTGTGAGTGAGTAAGTAAATGAGTGAGTGAGTGATTAAGTAAATGAGTGAGTGAGTGAGTGAGTGAGTGAGTGAGTGAGTGAGTGAGAGTAGTGTATGAGAGTGAGTAAGTGAATGAGTGACTGAATGAGAGAGAGAGCCAACAGACCTGGAATTGGAAGCAGTGACTGAGTGAGTGAGTGAATGAGAGAGTGAGAGAATGAGTCAGTCAGTGAGTGAGAGAGAGAGAGCGAACAGACCTGGAATCCGAAGCAGTGACTGAGCGAGTGAGTGAATGAGTGAGTGAGTGAGTGAGTGAGAGAGCCAACCGACCTGGAATCCGAAGCAGTGACTGAGCGAAGGCCAGTTGATGCTCTCCTGCACCAGCCGAGTGAACATCTTGCCGACCACGCGCGGCGACAGGTACCCCCCTATCACAAAGTGGTCCCACCCGCTGCTGCCCATGGGGAAGTAGTCGACGTTCTGCCGGCGGATCAGGCACCATCCTGGGACGCAGAGGACGGTCTCGTCCCCGGGGACCAGCTGCCACATGTTGACGTCCAGACTCATGGGCACCACCACCGTCGTCTGGTCCGCTCGGATCACCTGACGGGGCACAATTTTTGTGTGAATTTTTACAATTTTTCACTCTCTCACTTTTTAGAAATTTGTATTTATGAAGAACAATGAATTTTTAACTTTTAATGATACCATTGCATTAAAAGATGGTAGAACTGTAACAACTAGGAAGAAAAGGACTTTTTTCAACTGTTCAGGGCAAAATTTGAGCATTTTGCAGTAGATTCTGATTTTTTTTGGCAAATCAGAAAAAAATGAAGTGGGCAATTCTGTTAACCAAGAAATTAAATTTGTTTAAAGTTAAAACTTTTGTTCCAACACAAAAAATTCACCTAGAGCTTTCAACCAGTCACTCTGGTCTTCCTCAGTAGACTGACCCAGCTGCAGTGAGGCTTGTCACGTGGCTTCTTTGAAGTGTGACGTCAACTACTGAGGAAGACCAGAGTGACTGGTCGAAAGCTCTAGGTGAGAGAATTTTTTGTGTTGGAACAAAAGTTTTAACTTTAAACATGTAACTACCAACACAGATGAACTTTCATGATAGTATAAGAAATTAAATTGGCGAGGCCTAACCACAAAAATTAAAAATGACCTTTAGTCCGTCGTACACGTGTCCGTCCGCGTACAGTTCGCCCAGCGGAAGCTCCGGTTTCTTCGTCCGGATGAAGTCTCGAATCGCCGTGGCGACGATTTGCGTCACCTCCTTCGCCATGTCGACCTCGTTCTGCGGAATCTCCACCACGTTGTCATGGAAACGGGTTAGTTTGTGCAGGAGGGTTTTCCTGTCCATCTTGCCCTGTTTCCCCTGGGGGGGTTTTCTGTAGGGCGATCCTGTGTTGGACCTCGGCAGACGTCCCTTCGCCTTTTCTCGTGTGTCCTCGTCGCTGGACTCCTCGGACTCGTGCCAGGGGCGTGCATGGGGGGGCCCAGGTTCGGCGTCTGAAGACTCGTAGAAGTTTTTGGCAGCCCAGGCGGCAGCGCCCACCACAGCAGCCCCTGCTGCACCTGGTGGGGGGGGGGGCGGACAATTTTATTAGTAGAAATTTTAATTAATATATAAGGTGAGGTTTGTAAAGGAAAACTTACGCATAATGTCTACCTCCACATACACGTGGTCTGTTCTGTTAATTCTTACTCAAACACATTCATATATATGGTTACAGGAGTGTAAATCCCTCCTGCTATATGAAACTGCAACATCATGTAACCCAACACCAGTTACTATGGTGACAGACGTCTGGTTCAGGTCATTTGTTTGGAGAAGAAGAAGAGGAAGAAGAATCAGAGCATTTTATATTAGGCAATATGTTTCCCTTCTGTGAAGGTAAGCATAATGGCATTACTGGACCAGAACATTCAGGGCCAATTCAAACATTCCATTGCACAATTATAAGTTCTGTTGTATAAACTATATAAAAATTAACTTTGTCACCGACCTGCGAGCACTTTGAGTCCCCAGTACAGCAGCCCTCCTTCCCCCCTGCTCCGTGTGGAGGCCATGGCTGTCAGGGGGGTGTCCTGAGGGGGGGGTGTAGTGTGGGGGGAGAGGGGGTACTCAGTAACTGTGTCAGCAGGATAAGTTGATGTCGTCTGAGTTGGACATGACAAAAAGTCACTGCCACACGGTAGCTTAAGCGTTAGTCTCCCAGGTCTGAAAGAAACCAAACAGGCATATCGCATAGAGCTACTTAACCTCCAAGCAGATCCCTGTCGGTGGCAAAAAGACAGTATCAAATTGTCCAGGCAGTATCCATTAGCCAGAGAAGCTCCGCGGCCACTGAGACAGGACACAGGGTCAGGACAAAAAAAAACGGCCATATATAAAAATGTAACGATCGTTCCCCCACAACCTCTGCTTGGAGAGTAAGAACAACTATTATCATAGGAGGGACTGCAGTGGGGGGGGGGGTAGTGATTATGAATTACGCAAAATTTTCGCAGCCGATTGCGAATGATGTTAAAGTCTCAGAGGTAATTACGACTTTACGCTTTGCGGCTAATGTACTAAATTATGAATTACGTTGATTTTTGGGAAGGCTGCCTACGGATTACGAAGACTGAAAAGGCTGGCAAAAGTCAGAATCAAATTGGCCAGGCAGTATCCATTGGCCAGACACATATTGGCTTATTGGACCCTCTGGCCAGTGTATATACTGCCTGGCCAATTTGATACTCTTTTGCCACCCTAGGATCTGCTTGGAGATTAGTACAAAGGTCCTTCAATGGTATATAATATATGGTATAAAACTGTACTCTCCAAGCAGAGGAAGATCGTTTACTTTTTAGAAACGTTGGTGGTGGCAGAGACAAAAAAAAGGACCATATAATGATATGTGATAAGCAAACGATCTTCCACCATCAACCTCTGCTTGGAGAGTATTATAAAATTCTACATTCGTGTTTTTCACTGGTATTTCACCATTTACAACACAGTTTCGTTTCTTACAGCTCTTCAGTGCACGGAAAAGTTTTCTTGCAGTCTCTTCACGTCATATTAAGACACGTTTCCGTAGTTTTTGCTGTTACTTAGAAGAAATTTAAAACCAACCTTTTTCGTCCTCACTGGCAGTTGGGCACGATGAGGTCATCAGGGGTTAAACGGGCAGACTAGTCCATTTATATAGAATATATGGGGGCATTTCATGTCTGCTGTATTCTAGAAATATCTTGTAGCAGTTATTGTTTCCAACTTAGAATAACTACAATCAAAATATATTACAATATATCTAATTTTTCTATTGTATGTACTGTAAAAATAATAGTATTTTTTTGTGCGCCGTGTTTTTTTATAGTTTTTTGAAACTTTACCCCCCTATGTTTGGCCAGTCCACCGTTCCGCCGTACCCACAATGCCGACGGCTACCAAGATGGCGGCCACTGGGGTTCTGCCGTTTGTGCGAGGCGTGGATTTGAGTCGGAATGACTTCTCCGTAAGTTCTCCCGCCGAATATTTGACGTAGTACAATTGTAGAGGGGCTCTTTGTAGTCGTCCTGTGCAAATCTGAGAAAAATCGGACGCGGGGTGAGGGAGATGGGAGGGTTGGAAGTGTTGGGTGTCCGGTTTCGTTCTCCCTACGGGTCTGTGTTGCTGTTTTGGGAAAGCCCAGGCGAGGCCTGGCCGTGTGCCTGTCAGTCTGTGTGTGTTTGCAGAGGCACCGCCTCAGATTCCCCGCAAGTCTGTAGCCTGAACGGACTCAAGAGTAATGTTGGTTGATAATTACATGTAGTTTGGTTGGTTCAGAAATGCGAGAGTTCTCGGTTTTGTGACGTTTGTTCCATGTTGACAGTGAAAATGATTATAACAGAAGGCACAACTGTGCTAGTTGGAATGTCGGGGAGGGGCCGGGCTGGTTAGACAAACTTCAGGATTGACTCAGCCGTACATGTACTTAGTACATGACAGGCGAACAGATCTAGACACCGCACACACTCAACACACACTACAGAACACTACAGAACATCACAGAACAGCCACACATTACAGCAGGGTTAGACAAACTTCAGGATTGACTCAGCCGTACATGTACTTACTGTAAGTCTCTTTAGATTCGCGGGGCCTAAAGTTCGCGGTTTCGGGAAAATGGACAATCCGCGGTATTTTTAGATTCGCGATTTCTCCTTGGCTATTTTTCAAAGAAAAATGTGTAAAGTGTATGTTTAAAATAAAAAAAAGTTCGTGTTCCGGCATTTATATCCTAAAACGCGGCGCAAAAATGTGTTTCGTGCACCGCGCGAGACTGCCGGCGGTATAGCTGACGATTGATCTGACGCACGTGTAAACAATTTTCTTTGTTCGGAAATAAGCGCTAAAACGCTATTTTCCACGACTACACATCGATACTTTAGTGAAGAAATGCATAATCGAAAGAATCTTTCAGGAAAATATATATTACTAAGAATATTTATGCCGTCTTCGGCGAGATTTTGAACCCGGAAGTCGCCTTCGGTTTTGTAGCGGCCCACGGTAGCGTTTCTATCCAGCAAAACAAGAAGAAGAAAACGCCTGCAAAGCAGGGCGCAAAAGAGAATCAACTAACATTTCCCAGGTACCAGCAGTTATATTTTTCATCAAAATACTTGTAGATATGCCCGATGTTCCCGCAATTTTCAAGCGTCCGGGCGCGCATGGCCGGCGCTCAGCACACAGATTTTTGTCCGGCGGTGCACGTTTGACACGGCCAGTGCCGCAGTATCGCGATTCGTTGTCTCATAATACATTATAATTTTTCGACATCAGTATAACTTAAAAAAATTTTGGTACTCAACATAAGTACATTTGCTGAGAATAGAGTTGATTTGCAGTGATTTGTGTTTGTTGCGTGTGTTTGTGTTTCTCTTACCGTCGTGAATGCGTGTGGGGAGGGGGGCGCACTTACGCAAAATATATTCGCGGGGAAATAGATTCGCGGTATAGAGGTCCCCGCGAATTCCGCGAATCTAAATATACCGCGGAAATTTGTAGACTTACAGTAGTACATGACAGGCGAACAGATCTAGACACCGCACACACTCAACACACACTACAGAACATCACAGAACAGCCACACATTGCTGAGGGTTAGACAAACTTCAGGATTGACTCAGCCGTACATGTACATGACAGGGCGAACAGATCTAGACACCGCACACACTCAACACACACTACAGAACACTACAGAACATCACAGAACAGCCACACATTACAGCAGGGTTAGACAAACTTCAGGATTGACTCAGCCGTACATGTACATGACAGGCGAACAGATCTAGGCACAGCACACACTAAACACACACTACAGAACATCACAAAACACTACAGAACATC